GATAGGCCCATCTGCTCCGCCAGGCTGTCATTCCAGATGTCGTCCACGTTGGCGCCAAACACGCCGCCGCCGCCGCCGCCGCCGCCGCCGCCGCCGACGCCGCGCGGCCGCGGCTGGCTGGGCCCCGGCCGGCCGCCGGCGTCGCCGCCGCCCGCCGCCTCCTCGTCTCCCGACTGCGGGTGGCGGCGGCGGCGGGGCAGCCAGCTGAGTGCCCACACACGGCGTGCTGGGCACCCGACGGCCGACCAGACAGAACAGACGCAGGCTGTGTTGCGCCTGGCAGGTGCCCATGGCAGCACCCGCCTCTCGACGGCACCCACCCACACCCTGGCCGGCCTGGCCGGCCCCACACCCACCTCCTCCGCCTCCTCCGCCGCCAGCCGCTCGCGCCGGCTGCGCCGCTTGCGGGAGGCCAGCACCTCGAACGGCTGCCTGCCCAGCCTCTCCTGCGCCTCCATGCCTGCCAGCACGCTCATCGGGTCCGCGCCCTCACCAAACAAGTCGGGCTGCTCCTCATCATCGTCGTCCTCAGCTGCGCGTGCGGTGGTGCGGCGCGGGCAGGGCAGGGAGGCAGGGCACGCGGGAGGGTCACACACTGTGCGGACAATGTGCGGCCACGGCAGCGGAGTGCCGCCGCCGCAGCAGCAGCAGCTTGAGATGGCAGAGGCGGTGTCGGGGCCGGCGGCGGCAGCGGGCTGGCGGGCAGCCCATTCCCATGCAGCGGCCCATGCCCGCGGTGCGGCACGCAGGGCCCACCTGTGGTGGCCCCCGCCAGGTACGCCTCCTCGTCTGTGGCGTAGGCCTGGTTCAGGAAGGCCTCCTCATCCAGGTCTGAGGGGAGGTAGTCCTGGTCGTCGTCAGACGCCATCCAGCTGGGTGCTGGCCGCCCGCCGCAGGCGGTACCAACCTAGCTGGCTCCTGGCAAGCGCCGACAGCCGGCGCCCAGCAGCAGGCGCCGCGGTCCCCGCTGCAAGTATGCACGTTGCTGCTGAAGAACTGCAGCACCAGGATTGTCGACCTTTAGAGTGACGCTGCGTTCAGCGACCGGCGGCGGCGGCGGCAAACCCGCCGCCTGACAGCCAGCCAGGCCAGTCGGGCGCAGCCGCAGTGCATCCATACCTGCTCCACTGTCCCTCGTGTATGCCCTGGTCAGCAGCCCTGCAAACAGCGCTTTGTGTTTTGCAAGCCGGCGATCATGCCGCCCGCACTCCAAGGGCAACCGCTATCCTGCACCTTGGACGCTGCGCAGATGGGGACTTGCGCTGGGAGCTGGTTTGCCCTTCGAAGTCTTTGCGCCTCCAGCGTGTCGTTTTCCTCATCAGCCGCTGCGACATGGGGGGACGCCACCAGCTCCCGGCGATCTACCAAAGCCCCTAGTACGCCTGACCATCATTGCACGCCTCTGCAGCCCTTGAGAGTCGCTGATAGCCCAACTCTCCAGCTCCTGCTGCAACTAGGCCGCCTCTCGCTGCGCTCACGTGTTGCCTGCAACCTCTTTGGACTCGTGAACAGCGCAGAGGGCAGCAAGAGTGTGCCAGACGAGTAGCCTTCCCCGCCACCTGATCGGCTGGGAGTGGTGCTGTGCTGCGGACCAGCGCTCACCACTGCGGTCGCCTGTCAGCGACACACGCAGTGTGCCACCAGCCCCAATTTCCAGCGGGGCTTGGGAGGCGGCGCCCGCCGACTTTCTCGCCCCACCGCCCTGCCTGCCGCTGGAGCGGGCGCCTGCACCCGGCGTAGCCCTGAGCGCTGCCTGCCAGCATGACGCCGCCGCCAGGCGGCGACAACGACTGGTTTGAGGACTATGATACAGACATGAGCGATGCCTCGGGGCATCCCAGCGACCAGGACAGCCCATACCAAAGCGACAGCGACGGCAGCGGCAGCGGGCGCAGCAGCAGCGACGACGACGCCGGCGACGACGGCTTCCAGGAGCGCACGGCGTCGGAGGGCGGCGCCGACCAGTACAAGCGCATGTACACGGTCATAGACAGGCAGAACCTGCGCAGGATGCAGGTGCGACGCGGAGTCCGGCGTGCGGCGGCGCCCTGACCCATGCACCCAGCATGCGGTGCAACCGCAGCCCCTGGTGTATGCATGTTGCTCCTGGCTCGCGACCTCGCCTGCCATGCCCATCAGCACCCACCAGCTCCCATCCTGGTACCCTGCCGCAGGACGAGGCGCTGTCCCAGGTTCAGTCGATCCTGGGGTGCAGCACCACCACCGCCCGTGCCCTGCTCATCTATTTTTCCTGGGATGCCGAGGCGGTGCTGGGTGGGTGATGCTGCCACCACCCAGGCCTCCCCGCCTGCCCTGCCCTGTCTCGCGTGCACTGGGGTCAGCTTGTCGCCGTGCTGCGGCAGCCTGCGTGCCTACCGTGGACGAGGTTGGGAGGGAGGTGCTGCGCAGCCTGGGCGCACATCCAGCCGTTTGCCACCCCGCCGCCGCCGCCGCCGCCCTTGCTTGCAGGCACCATAGCGGAGCGTGGGCAGGGAGGAGGTGTACAAGCGCGCGGGGCTGGTGTCGCAGGCGGAGGAGGCACCACAGTCAGGGGCGGCGGCCGCTGCCGCCGACGAGGTGTCCTGTGGGGTGTGCATGTGTGACGTGCCGCGGCAGGACACCACCACCATGGACTGCGGCCACACCTTCTGCAACGATTGCTGGCAGGAGCACATGCGGTGGGTGCGGGGTGTGGGGTGCCGGGCTTGCTGCGGCCCGGCATGTCTGGGCGCGGTGGCCCAGCGAGCTGCTGCGGCCGCCTTGCCGGCTGCTGGCCGCAGCTGAGCCTGGGTTGCCCTTGCCCCTGCCCGCGACGGCCCTGCAGGATCAGCATCTCAGAGGGCATGAGCCGACGGCTCAAGTGCATGGCTGGCAGCTGCGGCGTGGTGTGCAATGAGGTCAAGGTGCGGAGGAGCTGGGGGCGGTGGGGAGTGGTGGGGCAGGGGTGGTGGGGGCAGAGGTTATCCAGGCGTTGCGTTGCATTTTGAGACGCGTGTGCCTGCTTTGTGCCTTGCCTGGCTGCGTGCCTGGGGTGCCTGTTTCCCCCGAAACATGCTCGATACGCACCACGCACAACGGCACTGCACGCCTGCAGGTAAAGCAGCTGCTCAAGGGCAACAAGCCGCTGCTGGCCAAGTACGAGGAGACGCTGCTAGGTGAGCGGGTGGGGTCCGGGCTGTAGCTGGTGGCTCGGTTGCAAGGACTGGCCCCCAGTTTCTGCACCGCCAGCTGTGCTGCAGACACCTGGAGCGCCTGTGCGTTCCTCTAGGGCACTCTGCCAACGCCACACACACACACACGCACACGCGCACTCGCACACACGCCCTGCCCCCCGCAGAGAGCTACGTGGACGACAACAAGCGGGTGAAGTGGTGCCCCAGCGTGCCGCACTGCGGCCACGCCATCCGCTCCAAGGAGCTGCACTGCGAGGCGAGCGCCGCGGCGGGGCCTGGCCTTGGGGGGCCTACCCGCCTGCCGAGCTGGTGCAGCGCGGGCAGCGCTGGGCTGCGCGGGTTGCCTGCGGCGATCTGCCGCGCCGCCGCCTGGGCTGCCCCACGCTGCCCGCGTGCGCACACCTTCCTTCCTTCCTTCCCTCCACCCCCCTCCCTCCCTTCCCTCCGCCGCCGCCGCAGGTGGACTGCACGTGCGGGCACAAGTTCTGCTTTGCGTGCTGCGAGGTGCAGCACAGCCCCGCCACCTGTGAGATGTACCGCGACTGGGAGCAGCGGCTGCGGGACGGCAGCGAGACCAACAGCTGGCTCCACGCCAACACCAAGCCCTGCCCCAAGTGCAGCAAGCCGGTGGAGAAGAACGGCGGGTGAGGGCCACGCAGGCGGGCCGCGGGCGGCCAGCCAGGGCGGCTGCTGGCTGAGGCAGCGGGTGGTGCTTGCAGGCAGACCGGTGCTGCGCCTGGTCCCACCGCTGCCTTGGTGTGCCCTGCCCCCTTAGCTGCCCCTGCCCTGCCCTGCTCTGCCTGGGGCACCCTAGCGCGCTGCCGCGGGCGACCCCTCATTACCCCATGTTGCCCCCTGCCCCGCCCCGCCCCCGCAGCTGCAACCTGGTGCTGTGCCGCTGCGGCCAGGCCTTCTGCTGGCTGTGCGGGCAGGCCACGGGGCGGGCGCACACCTGGACCAACATCGAGGGCCACTCCTGCGGGGCGTATAAGGAGGAGGCGGAGGCGCGGGCCAACGAGGCGCAGCGGTGGGTGGGGTGTGGGGCAGGGCGTTGGGGCGTGTGCCGGTGGGCGCCGCCGGCTCCCTCGCGCCTCCCAGCCGTCGCACCCCCTCCTCCTCGCGCCACCAGCGGGCACTCGCCTCCACCGAGCCCACCCCACCTGACCTGGCCTGGCCCCGCTGCTGCCTGGCCCGCTGCTGCCTGACCCGCTGCTGCTGGCCCGCCTGCCCGCCTGCCTGCCTGCCTGCCTGCCAGCCTACCTGCCTGGCCTGGCCTGGCCTGCCTGCCTGCCTGCCTGCCTGCCTGCCTGCCAAACTGCCACCACCCCACCACCCCCACCTCCCTGCAGCAACCTCAAGCGCTACCTGCACTACCTCACCCGCTACGAGGCCAACCTGCACGCCATCAAGCTGGAGCCGCAGCTGCGCAAGGTGCGCCCGCCAGGGGGAGGGAGGGAGGGCTGGGGGAGTGGGGCACCCCACCCGCCTCTCCACCCCTCTTCGCGACTGACGGTTTGCTGCTGCGGCGGCGCTCCTCCCGGATCTGCGGCCCACTCCCTGTGCCGCGCTGCCCCACGGTGCCCTCCCCCCCGACCCGTGGTACCGCGGTACCGCGCAGGGCTGCGAGGCGCGTGTGGACCGGCTGATGGAGGCCGACCCCGCCTCCATGACCAACTTCTCCTGGCTCAGCGACGCGCTCACCCAGCTCTTCCTGGCCCGCAAGTGCATGGCGTACAGGCGTGTGTGTGTGTGTGTTGGGGGGCAATGGGGGGCGTGGCGCGCAGCGGCGGGGAGGGCGCAGACGCGGGCCCGCTGGGCTGTGGGGGGGCGAGCCTGTTCGCCTCCCTCCTGCTCCCCTCCCGCTCCCTCGCCGCACACGCGCACCACACACACGCAGCACACACACCAGCAGCATGCACACACACACACAGAGCCCCCTGCCCTGCCCCCCCCTCCCTCTTCTTGCAGCTACATCTTTGCCTTCTACATGTTTGGGCAGAGCATGTTCCGGGAGGACTTCACGCCGCAGGCCAATGCCATCAACCAGGCGCTGTTTGAGGACAAGCAGGGGCAGCTGGAGGCGGAGGTGGAGCGGCTGAGGTGGGTGGGGCGGGGCACGGGGCCCGGGGGGGGGCCCTGGGGGGTATGGGCCCGGGGCCAAGCCTCCCCCTCCCTGTGCCGCTCCATCCTGCCCCGCCCCTCAACCTACCCGGCCCCTCAAACCCCCCACGCTGCCTGCCTCAGCCCCGCTGCCCCGCCCCTGCCCTCCGCCTGCCGCAGCCAGCTGATTGAGAACCTTGAGTTCCAGTGGCCGCTGTCCCTCATCAGCGACAGCAGCTGGCAGGGGCTGCCCGAGCAGCGCATGGGCATCATCAACCTGGCCGCCATCATCGACATGCGCATACGCAAGATGTATGAGGTGACGGGGGAAGGGGCAGGCGGTACAGGCAGTACAGGCAGCACAGGCAGGGCACGGGCGCCCCGCAGGGCGGCAGCGGGGCGGGCTGCGGCTGCGGGGCTTCACACCGCCGGGCCGCTGCGGCAGGGCGCAGGCGTGCCGCCGGGGCGCTCCTGGCCCGGGCCTGTGCCGCCGCTTGGGCGCCGCCAGCCCCACCTGCTGTGCACGTACCACGCGCCATCCC